TTAACAAAATGTACTTAAAATGCAAAATGTACCAACAATGTCATATAGTGCAAAGATATACAACTATATAACATACATATGATCATCAATAAACCTCATCTTTTCTTTCTCCATTTTAACATACATTTTTGTAACATATATTTGTGTAACAAAGTTTGGAAAAGTGTGAGTGAGTGAGTGAGTGAGTGAGTGAGTGAGTGAATGAGTGTGTGAGGGTGAGGGTGAGGGTGAGGGTGAGAGTGAGGGTGAGGGTGAGGGTGAGGGTGTGTGTGTGTGTGTGTGTGTGTGTGTGTGTGTGTGTGTGTGTGTGTGTGTGTGTGTGTGTGTGTGTGTGTGTGTGTGTGTGTGTGTGTGTGTGTGTGTGTGTGTGTGTGTGTGTGTGTGTGTGTGTGTGTGTGTGTGTGTGTGTGTGTGTGTGTGTGTGTGTGTGTGTGTGTGTGTGTGTGTGTGTGTGTGTGTGTGTGTGTGTGTGTGTGTGTGTGTGTGTGTAATATAAGCCAGGTATCTTTGGCTGGCCATATTTTTTGCTAAATAAGAGGCACCTAATTGATTGAAAAAAAATACCTAATATGTTTCAGTACTATGGCTCATTTTTTTTCATCTGATACCATCTCTATAGTAGCTGCTTTAATATATGTAGGCCCTCTAAAGAAGGATAATGCAAAATCAACATGAATCATTTGCTGATCAGTTCACTGGAGGATCAAAGTCACCTGCCCCTTAACCAAATTTTCCATGAAGAGACAACCCCACTACCCAGATTAAATAGGGATATGTATACATAACATAACAACTTCTATCTTTATATTATATTCAGTCATTTCACTCACTGGCATCAGATGATGTGATAGCTCATTGTATCCCAAGTCTACATCCCGATCACTGGGATGAGATGATGTGATAGCTCATTATATCCTAAGCCTACATCCCAATCACTGGGATGAAGTCTTGCATGTACTACTGTTAGCCAATCACCCAAGCGCACTGCTCCATGCACTAATGAATACTTATCCTCACCACACTTTACCAAAAATTTTATCTGTTATTATTTGGTTAAAACAAATGTTATATTTTCATCAAGTCTTTGAACAGCAGCCTACAGATGCATCAGATGAATCAAAGTGTCCTAAAATCAAACATAAAAAGATTTAGTTTGATGGGCTTTCTACCTCAAGCTGCTGTTTGAGAAGCTGAACCTCTTCATTATGCTCCTTATTTTCCTCACTCATCTGGCGTTCTTCTGCTTTGGTGTTTGTCTGGACTCGTTGCTCTAAATGACGCAAGTTCTCTTCAGCTTCCTTTAGCTTCTCCATATCCTGTCAATAACCATGGGAATAATGAAAATTTAGCTGACCATTGATGATTCCTTTTACAGTATTTTCAACTCTGCTTAAAGACTGCATATTCATAATCCAGGTCTTTTAATCGCTTTCTGTTACTGAAATCGTTTCATAAGATAATCAGTCATCTTATATATTATATGTCATCTCAATAAAATTACTAAGACATTCTTTACATTACAGAATTCAAAATATCAATTTTGAAGATGTATGAAATCCTGAATTTCCCTTTTGAAGAAGAAAACTGAATTACAAAAAGTAACTCCATCCAGGTAGGTAGGTTGATAAGTATAAAAAAAAATAATAATAAAAAATAAATAAAAAATAATATAAAAAAAATAATAATAATAAATAAATAAATAAAGAGAATCAAAGAACTTACCCTCAGCATGTCACTAAGCTGTCCTTCATACTGCCTGTTCCGCTGGTATGCCTTAAAGCAGCCAATGAGAGCCAGGGTCAAGAGGGACACCAAAACCAGATCTTTCACATGGCTGCCTGTTTCTGTTAAGTGCCCAATAATTAGTCAGATAATTGTAATTGTTGTATTACAAAATTTAAAAGCGGACATCTGAAATAACTTAGAAATAGGATATGTCAATCTAGCACATGATTTTTTTGTGATGAGTTATTCAATTGTATTTAACTAAATTTAATTTCAGGACATATGAACAATTTAACATTGATATCTTTTTATTAAGCATTTCGTATAACATTTCTTAACCTAGAGGGCTAGTATATTGAATCATGATCATCAGTTATCAAAGCAATAAAAAAGGTATAATAACCAGTCTGTAAAAGGCTACGTGCTGTTAATACTTGATTGTACTGTCATTAAATCTTAAAAAGGTTTAAAGCACTTTGCATAATGGGTCACACCTAATCTTCTGAACTTCTCTTGCATTTTCATTTTCTTGTATGGATATGATATATACACATTCACATGTTTATTCTTCAGTTTACTCTTCATCACCTTCCATTTTCTCTTTATTCTACCTCATCAGGCACTAACAATTAACTATCATAAGTCTTGAGTATGTACACCATAAGTTCGATCATGTCCATACACAGATATTTCAAACCATAATTATACATTAGATACACACAACCATACTACTGCCCACATCTGTCAACTCTTAAACAAAATCAATTTGTCTGGGGGATAGAAAAGAGCAACTGTAATCTTATATATACACTGTTACATAAATCACATGCAAAAAATTCAATAATATATATTCTTTTATTTAATATTGGTTTCATGCAGACCAATCTTCATGACATGCATATAGGAAAAGCATAGTGTCTATTTTTGAAATAGTTTTTCTTCCTTACTTTTTACATGTAATTTTGACATATTTAAAGCCACCACTAGAACCTTTTTAACTGAATTCCTTCAAAGCATTTTGATGTTTAACCTCATGCAGTCAGGAATGACTATAACTATCATGAAATATTTCTGCTATGTGCCAGATACGGCTCTGGCCTTCATGGCTCATTCTTGTACTGGTGCACTAGAGCTTTTTGTGATAGGCTTACCAAGCCAGCCAGCCCAGTATCATTGGATTAATTAGAGCAAATGTATTTACTAATTCCACTGGTTAATAAGAGATGTACATTTAGCTAACTGCCATGAATTTACTACCCTTAGGATGTTTCTGCATTGATTGCTGTCCTAATTTTATACATATATCACAACTGCTTGAAAAGTTTTGTTAAACCCCATAATCCAGATGATGAGACCATCAAGTCATGAAAAAAATTGGCATGAGGGGCAGGTGATGCTAATATGCCATCATGGGAAAATTTGATTGTGGGCTGGGGTGACAAGAACTTGCCATCATGAGCAATTCAGCTGAAGGCTGGAGTGACTGGAAAGACTTGTATTAAGTGCACAAAGCTCTTGGAGGGTGATTAGACTCATTTGGCATTTAGAAAGGGGCTTTTGCATTATTTCCATTACAGAAAATTTAATATTATAATAAAAATGAAAACTATCATTAACGAGAAAGATCATGAAAATTTAATATTATAATAAACTCTTGAAAAATGACACAAATATCAAATGTTACTTATTGTTATCATTATTGCACTGAGTGATGGACTTCCTATTCCTAGAAAGATGATACAGAGTCTGTGCAAGGAAAATAGTATATTACCATCTGGATACAGGAAATCATATAAAGGCAAAAAAGCTAAAACACTTCTGCAGAAAATGAGAAAATAGCATTGCAAACGGGAGGCGTGGAGTCTTGTCACTTCACACAAATGTTCATGTGCGCCTGGCCTAGAAGCTGCACACTCTTAACCCAGTAACGACAGGTGTCCCATATATGAGACACCCGAAAAAATAAACATTGCCGGTCGTCCTGCCAGTGTGATGCCGTATCAGGGCTCACACTCCGATGCAGCAGCGGGCTGTGGCCGGCGCACGGGCAGAATCTGGGCCAGCCCTAAGCGCCGACTTTGTAGCCACCCGGAATCTTTTATTTTCGGCTTCAAATTATACTGGCGGTAATGGGTTAAGACTGACCACTCATGTAAGTCTAATGCCCAGATTCCGGACCATGTGATGGCAGTGGAAATTCAGATCAATTGGATTAATTCAAAGTTATAACAAGTTCTGCATAACTTTAGAGAGAGGATCGCTACTCAAAAAATTCTTCCTGAATAAAGTTATATACTTATATATTAAGTAAGACAAACATTTCAACATTTAGTGACTGTCAATAACTTTAAATTTTACTCCACATATGTCTCAATTATCCTCATGTTTTCAAATAGTGATACCCTTTTCTTCCATGTATGCTATTGCAAAGGAACAATACCTTTTGTTTTTACAACTGAATTCAATTTACTTCCAAAGGTGCTGATTCCCATTTCCTTTGGGGTAAATTAAAATGACTGTGCTAACAGCATATGACCTCCCATGCTGATGTTGTATCCTCCAGCACATACTTAAATCTAAATTAATTTCTGACCCAAAAATAGTTTATAATACAATGCTTAAACATTAATAAAAACTTGATAACTTATCAAAATCACACTTGTCTATTTCCTCATTTAGTGCATCATTTTCCCCTTTTATTCCAGGAATCTTTTACTCTACAATAATCAAAATAATCATTACATGCTCCTATTTTTCTGCTATACCCTCCATTCTTACCACCTGTCCACCATTTTTTAAAAATCAATGAGTAAATGTGTCCCTTGCAATGGTGATACTCCTGCATAGCATTTTCTTTCTATGCAAAGAATATCTTAAAATAATACAATATAGTATTCCCAAGTACTGTACAATGTTTTGCCATCTTCTACTATTCAAATATATTTACTTTTAATACAAATATACTACAAAACATATAAGAAAACATCTTTACAATATCACTGTCTCTTTGACATTAAAAGATCTAAACTATGTACTTAACTATCCACCTCACAAAATTACAAAAAATGTAAATATCAATAATTTTCTATTTCATCATCATAGATATGAAATTCCTCCTCTAAACAGTACTTAACTTTACAAGCATATGCATCCTACCCTTTTACCTCTAAGTGGGAATTCAACATGAATTAAAATATCATATCTCATGCTATACATATTTACAAATATATGAACACAGCCCAAGTTCTAAATAAAGTTAAAATGAAGTCCATTAGAAAATTCTGACAAGACACAATTCTGTGATTTAGATTTTGGGCTATGTTTAAAGTGGGAAAGTAAATGCAAGCATCATGCACTTTATCAAAATTCAATGTTCAAATTATAAAATTTTGATATTACTTACCAAAGCATCAAGTCGACATCAGCATATGGAGGGAGAGAAAATTCCTGAGGTTTATAATTCATCCACCTTATCAAAAAATGCTGTTTATTCAGACTGGAAAATGCAACTGATGGCCTGACAAATGCTTGTTAGCTGTTCAATATCTCAAGTCAAACAGAGGAATTAGCCCTTGTATACCAAGCACTGAAAACTCCCAAGCACAAGAATACCCAAACAAGCATCTATTAGTGATAAAAAATCCTAGAAGTGCAAGTTATCTGACAACTTAAATTTAGGAAGCATGTAAACCTAGAGAAAATAATAAAAAACAAGCTAAATAAAGAAGCTGCCTATAATTTTGAGTACAAGACAAGATACACATGCTCCTTGCCTTTGCCAAAAGCCAGAACCTGATCATCTACTCAATGAAGATCATCAGCATTTTTGGCAATAACAATAAACTTTGAAGATGAGGAAACATATATAAACCTTCATCAATAAGCTTTATAAAAAATCTTGCTAAATGTTATTACAACAAAGGATATTCATATACCACATTTAAGTTCTATAGCAACAGACTAAATCATGTAATAACTTATAGTAGTCTCTAATCAACAATAATGATCTTCCTTGAATATTTGTTACTATTCTGTCAATTCTATCTCTAGCTGAATCAGTGACCAAGAGATTAGTGGTAGTAACTGGATATAACCTGCATTTTTTTAAGGATAGAAACACAAATCTTCTAGTCTCTGATATCAAATTACATTCAAATATATTGTCTAGACTACTGTATCATCATTCAGCACATTCAACTAACCTTTTGGGGGTCCAAAGAGCACCACATCCATAGCCTTAATAGTGATCTTGGACCGGTGTTTTGGGTCCTTGATCCCCAGGACTTTAGTCAAGAACTGCTCATTGTTGGCTGCCAATCTGTAATATACAGCAGAGATTTTTTCATCCGTTTCATTATCATGTTGGTTGGTAAATGATAGGGACTGTTTCTTTATATTTTCAAACCTCATGCCTCATTAGTAGTGCCTTCTCCTTTAAAAATCGCATTCTTCTACTACTACACTTAACTTTAATACATAAGTTTAATACACTAGAAAATAAATATGCCTTGATCTCTGATCAAAACACTATGAATAAATCTAATAATTTGACCTATTCAAACCTTATCTATGAATGAATCAACTAATTAAAGCTGATATTGTGTTAAGGAATTTTGCACACAGGGGATTTGTTTCTTTTAAGGGAAAGGCTAGTGAACTGTATTTAGGTAGGAGGCAAAAACAAACTGAAATCTATACACTACATTTGAGAAAAAATAAATATATAGTAAAAAAAAAAAAAGTATTCGGTTTCAATTTCCCTTTATGTAAAGCAAACTCATTTTACTTACTGAACATGACCTTCTACCATTCAGCTATGCATCATATAATCAAGAAACAGTCTGAAGATTTCTGTTTTAAGATATTGACCCCTTAATAACACAATGAAGCGCTCTTACCAACGACTTACATGAACAACCATAAACCATCATTCATTTTATATATACAATTATGAATGACATTCAAATTGACACTCACAACAAAACTTTTTACCATATACTGAACATCGAAATGGCCATATTATATTTTTTAGGGGTCTCTGTGACACAAACAGCATCTATCATCATTAAAAGCGACATCAACTGTCAGTGTTGGTCATGCAGCTACTTGTGTCGTAAAATGTTCACAATCCAAACAGCACACTTAGGGTACCAAACAGCTCCAAACAAGTATAAATAACAATGTCACAAGAAAGTGCACTTGTAAATCCCCGCAAGGGCAGATTAATAATCAGCATGTTAAACGAGCAAATAAATAAAAGGAGTAGGAGAAGATGGAGTAGCAAGGGAGTGTACATCCAAATTGCTGATGCTCCAGCAAATTCACCTTTCTAGCATATGCCTTTCACTTCTTCTTTCGGTTCTGGAAGCTATCACGCTGAGAATGGTACTGCAGAAGTGAGAAAGAGGCAAAATCCACTATATTGATGGTAAAGGTATACTATGAACTACTTTTTAATATTCACAAAAAGCAGTAGGTGCTTCTTTTCTTCACACTGCTAGGGGTACTTACTCTAAAAAATACAGTTGGGATGTATACAGAATAATAAAAAAAATAATAATAAAAAAAGAGATCCTTACAAAATATAGATGCATGCCCCACCACATACGAAGACTTTTGATACTTGTCATACATCAGTGAAATATGATACATTCTAAATAGCAAGAAGTTGGATTTCTTGAACCAACACATGAAAAAGAACACAGAATTTCCAAAAACAAATGAGGATGAATCATATCATTTCAACATACTTGCCAACTACAATATGGCTTAGAA